CTCCAGGGCGCCTAGCACAGTATGGGACCGGTTCTGGCTCCAGCCTTCCATCCATGTTTTTCTTTTCTTTTTCTTTTTCCTTAGTTTCTTCCTGGGTCGTGAGAATCCCTCTCCTTTCATCTGGTCTTCTCCATGTTGTTAAATTCTAGGGTCTGAGCTGTTTTTTTCTGAGAGCACTTTACCTTGCTACTTATCGATCCACCGTCTTAGGAACCCTCAAGTGAGTTTATTCTGTAAAATTCAAATTTATTATCAAAGAGAAAGTAATAAAAGGAATTCCCATTAAACACTAAGCTTGTTTGAGCGGTAGCAGCTCGGGGCCAACCTATATCACATTCTTCTTTATCTCCTTCATTTACTTACTAATACATATTTTATATTAGTTTATATTTTATATTTTTTATATATTTACTTACTAATACATATTTTATATTAGTTTATATTTTACATATTTTATATTAGTTTATTATTATATTACTAATACATATTTTATATTACATATTTTATATTACCTGGGAGACTGAAGAAGGAAGATCACAAGTTGAAGACCAACCTGGGTAATTCAATGAGGCCCTGTCTCAAAATAAAATTCAGAAAAGAATTTAAATTGTATTTAAGTGGTAGAGCACTTGCTTAGCACACACAAGGCCCCTGGTTCAGTCTCTTCCCCCTCCTCAGATATTCAGTGTTCCTTTTAATATTTTGTTATTATATGCATCATATTTATATGTAAGTGAAAAAAATCCAAATATTACTAGTCTCTTTGAAGACCTCATGTGACACTTAGCAGTTTCATCCAGTCCCAGCTTTCTGCTATCCTAGAGGTTGCCCTTATCCTGAAGTTTGTACTAATCATTCCCATGATTTTTTTGTTTTTAATCTTTATGGGATCATACTGTACATATTTTTCATTTTGCTCTTTTCACACAATATTACTTTTTAACTTTCATCCATTTTATTCAACCTAGCAGTGGTTAACTTTTATTACTGTGTAATGTTCTTTTATGTACAGATGTAATAGTTTACTTCAACAGTCTCTTAATGGTGGACTTTTGGGTTGCGTCTTGTGTTTTGCAGTTATACGAGTACCTGCTTATAAACAGTGCTGCGTATAGTACCTGGTGTAAATGTACAAGGATATTCACATGGAATATAATTGATGGATTGTCAAATATGTGTATGTTTAACTTTAGTAGGTAATTCTCAATTGTTTCCCAAATATTTGTGCCATTTCACTTTTACATTTATCCATTTCTTTGCCAACTGTTAGAATTATTAGATTTAAATTTTTTGAATGTCATTTTAATTATGTTTTCTAGGTTACCATAGAACGGCATATATATATATATATATTGTGTGTGTGTGTGTGTGTGTGTGTGTGTGTGTGTTTTGTTGTTTTTGTACTGGGAATTGAACGTAGGACCTTCTGCTTGCCAGACAGGTGCTTGTGTTGCTGAGGTATATCCCTGGCCCAAGCTGAGTATATTTTTATTTTGGGGGATATTTTGTTCACTTTTTTTTCTGTATGCATTTGTGTGTGTTGTGTGAAATGGCTGTTTATAATGGTTAGGCTCATTTTTCTGCTGGATCATTTGTCTATTGTCTATTCTTTGTGATTTATGGAGTCCTGTTTATGTTACAGATATTAATGCTGAGTTGATTATCAGTGTTACAAATATTACTTCCTATTTGTGGTCCTTTTACTTCCCATGTGGATGTATCTTTGGATGTATATAAGTTCTTAACTTCTAGTCAAAGCAGTGATCCATCTTTTATTTTTTTGAGCATTTTGTACTTTTGTTTAGGACACTGTTTCCATTTCTTACATGTAAGTCATTGATGGGACTCTAAAATAAGAATGCCTTATTGTCTTCCATGAAGGTGACTCCTAAGCCCTGTGGTCCATTCATTTTAAACCATCAGATGGACACAGTCTTTGAAAACAGTTTCGTTATGGATACGTAATCCATTGTATGATGATAAGTAAAATACTCTTGAGCATTTTAGTGTCCCCTTTTAAGTATTGCCTACTTTAACAACTGAGACCTTAAAAAACATGAAAAGTAACACTAGTGGAGAATATTTTGTGAAATTCTCAAGCAAGTTCAGTTTACTTTTTGTTGAAATTTGTGGAAGAAGACAATAATATCAGATACACTGAGGAAGATAAAATTTCTACTGTGCTGATCCTTTATATAAAAGGTAGTGAAAATAAAGTTAAATCAGGTTCTGATTAATATGAAGAATTGTCCTATAGACGACCAGTCTATCTACCTTCTGTGTTCTTTACAGGATATTTTTTTTAATGATAATATTCAGTGACTGTATACTAAACCTTCTAAAATATTAAAAAGTAAATAAAACAAAAACCCCACTGCAATTCACAGTAGAAAGTTCAAGCAGGAAGAATTTATTATATTAAATGGTTTACAGAGTCTTTTGGAGCATTGAAGAAATACTGTGGTTTGTACTTTTAGGAGTGACTCCATGGAAGTGGGGCATGGGTCAAAGGCCTGCCTCTTCTGTGATTTGAAAGCCCGGAACTCCTCATTCAGAACATTGCTATCTTAATCACGAAACTGCAGTGATGGGGAAACCACCACAGTTGTGGTGCTCTTGCTGCTGCTGCAGCATTGTGAAAAGAACCAGAGACTGCCTAGAGTAATAAGCTCTCCTGTGATGCAGGCCTGTACCCTGCCTGTTAGCCTAGCTGTGTGACCTGGATATGGGAAAACCACAACCTGTATAATGCCTGCCAAGGAAATGAAAGCATTGCACTCACTACCTTACTCGTTCATATCTTTCACAAGGACTCTTTGTGGCTGAAAACTGTAAAGGATTCTAGGTAATGTAGGTTTTTAGCATCCTAGTTTCTGCAAGAGAAGGCGGCACCCTAAAAGGATGAAGGAACAGATGTTGAAGATTCATATATCCATCACGCGTGAGGTAATAAACCTGTTCCCAGTATTTTCTTGTGCAAGTTTTGCTTTTCATGTTACAGTTCTTTATCTAGATACTTTTTAAACAATAATTTTTACAAATTTTATTTCAAATCCGTTTCTGATTTGGAGGCTATTTAGAAAGGATTTGAAAAGCTATTAAAGGACATTGCTTTACAAGGAGTAATACAAAATACAGTGAATGTTTACAAATTTTTAAAATTTAGTAAGAAATATATTGACTTAGTCCCTCTCAAATTATTATCGCTGAGTTTTAACATATTTATTCCACTTTCTGTGTCATCTCTGGAAGTCGTCTTCTGGAAAATAATTTAATCTTTTAGGTATAAAAGAAATTCCACAGTAATTCTATAAGAGAAGTGGAATGGAATTTGAAGGATGAAACTTTTTTTGAGGGACGGTTTTTTTTTCACATCCACGTCTGTTGTGGTATTTGTTGACTGTTGACTATCTCCCTTTCATGGTGTGTGGTAGGGTTTTAATGACATTCTTACCTCAAAGGAATAACTAATTTTCCATCAGTTCATTGACTGTTCTGATCTTTTGCTGATAGGCAACCCCAATTGTACTGTTTATACAGTTGCCATACACACATAGTATTGTTTCTAGTTATCCTGTAACACTGGCAGTTTTAGTTTGTGTCAAATTCATACTATCGTCGTTCCTGTGTTTTATATCAGGTTTTGATATCTGATAAATCTTCCCATCTTATTTTTTTTCCTTTAGCAATTGCAGTTGGAACATTGAATGTTGGATAGTTTCTATTGCTGTGTCTTCATATTCACCTAGGTTTTCTTTGGCAGTGTGCTATCTGCCATTGATCCCATTTGTAACTACACTTATAATGTCTTTGTGTAAGTTCTGGTTTTTTTTTTTTTTAACATTTGAGTCAGTTCTGGCTTTGTTTCTGTTGACTGAACTTTCTTCTTATTATGAATTATGTCTTTCTGCTTGTTTACATGCCTGGCAATATTTTTTTAATGCCAAATAGCAGAGCTTTTTTTCTTTTGAATAGCTGAATATATTTCTATTCCCATGCATATTCTTTTTTTTTTTTTTTCCTTTTTATCGGTACCAGGGATCGAACTAACAACTGCCTGCTTGCAAGGCAGGCGCTTATGCCGCTGAGCTAAATCTCCAGCCCCCCCCCCCATGCATATTCTTGAGCATTCTTCTGGGATGCAGTTAAATTTCTAGAAAGCACTGACCTTTTTGTGTCTTGTTATTAAGGGTGTAATAACAGTGTAGAGGTGGCTGCAGAACAAAGGGCTAATTTTTTTCTTCTGAGACAAGACCCTTCTAAACATTCTAATGCCTTGCCAAGTAGGAGATTTTTTTTCAGTTTCACTGGTAGAAGTAGGCACCGTTCCTGCAGAATGTAAGCTCCCAGCACTGCACCTTGTGGTTCTTCTGGCCTCGCTTCCTTCACATATGTGTACTGATTGGTATTCTGCTGGGTGCCCGGGAACACCTTTTAAAATTTTTTTTATTTTAAAGAAATTAAAACCAAACCAAGCAAAAGAGAATAAAGCCAAAAAAATGAAAATGATACAGGACTTCAAAACAAGATAATGGGAAATTAACATGGCTACCATAATGCATCTTATTATCTTAAAAATAGCTGTCCAGACCATCAGATATAAGCTTGTAAAATTAACGAAACAATACAAGAACTAAGTTGAAATTTCAGATGTGTGACCTTTAATTGTCACTTGCCTGTGTCTCCTGAACTTGTTCTGGGTGGGCTGAAGGCCTGAGCTTGTATTTTGTTCTATCATCTTGACATTTTCCTGTGTTTCTCCAAGTCGACCCATTGCTACATCCTGGGCATTTCCTGGATTGGCCACCACCAGTCCCTTGGTGTAAAAGATTGGACTAGGAACCTGGGTTCCTCCCATCCAGGGTTCCTAGAGTGGTGGAGAGACACAGCGTTCACCATGCTTCCTGCTCCGATGGCAGCAGAGCCTCTGGACATTGCTTCTTCTCTGGGCCTCACTAGGCTGGAGCCTTGGGTGTGGCTTCTCCAGGTCCTCATAGGGCTCTAAGCTATTTCCAATGAATTGGCCTTTATATTTTCAAAGTTCTAAAATGGCCATCAGACCCTGGAACGACTTCTCTTTAGGCTCCTGTTTAAAATCAGCAGCTACAACAAACTGCTGGCCTTGATTCAGGGCCACTTTGAAGCTTTCTTTTGTCCCCACTATTCAGTCCAGTGACCTCTAACTGCCTTTGTCTCCCTGGACTTTTCTCTGAACCACCTCAACTTTGGGAGACTTTCAGGCTTTACACGGACTCCCCTTTTATGTGCACTTATCCTGATGAGATAGTTAATTTACTGTGTCAACTTGACTGGGTATAGGCAGATCCAGCCAGGTGTGAAACCTTTTTTCTTTTGGATGTATCTGTGAGGATTTCTGAAAGAGATTGCCTAAAGGAAGAAAATTTTTCTAGACAATGTGGGTGGGCACCATCCAGTGTACTGAGTGCCTGGATAGAAGATGGAGGGAGACCTGAATTAGCTCTTGTCTTCTGGAGCAGGGACTTCCCTCATCTCTTGCCCACAAACAGAATCTTTAAGTCCTTATGCCTTCAGATCCAGGATTTTACACCTGCCCAAGAGATTAGAGATTTTATTGTACTCTGTTGTGTTATATTAAGATTAAACATGTTCAAAATCACATTATCAATTTATATTCCCTTAAATCTGTGTCATCATGAAATTCTTAAATAATGACTTGTGACACACACCTGACATCCCAGTGTTCTAGGAGGCCGAGGCAGGAGAATCAAAGTTTGAGCTCAGCCTGGCTAGCTTAGTGATTTAGCCAGTGTCTTTAACAAAACAAAACAAAACAAAACAAACAAACAAAAGGGGCTAGGGAAGTGGTTTAGTGCAAAGGCCCTAAGTTTAATCCCCAGTACCAATAATAAAATGACCAAAGCAACTTCATTATTCTTTGATTTTGTATTTATTTGTAATTCTTGTTTTTGTTAATTGCCAATCAGATTCTTTTCCTTATGGAGTTACATGTGATATTTGTTGTCATAAGTGAACTCGTTATTTTCATAGGTCTTATGGATATTTGTTCTCAGATTGCCATTTGCTTTTTACTTTTTCTAGAAACGAACTTAAAATGCTTTTAATAAGCTGTGGTGTGTTAGTAGTGCTTGAGTCTTACATATACCCCAAAGGCTCACGTGTTGAGGCTTGGTCCCCAGCAGATGATGCTTGTGGGAGGCAGTGGAATCCCAGGTGAGCACTTCCTTCTGCCATGTTTGTGTGCCCCTTCTGCAAAGATGTTCTGCCTCACTGCAGGGCCAAATGATGGAGGCAAATGATCATGAACTGAAACCTCTGAAACCTTGAGCCAAAATGTCTCTCCTTTTAAATTAATTATTTCAGGTATTTTATCATAGTGATCATATATCATAGTATCAAATACAGTCAGTCTTTCCGATTATGACCAACACAGCTGACCAATGCAGTCAGTCTTTCCCATTTTTGATTTGTGTGCTTGTTTTGGTCTCTAGAAATCATCTCAAGGAAATAAGTGAGAGAGTTAGGTATTCAGCTTGTTTATTTATTTATCTATATGAATTGATAGCCAATTTTTCACATATTATTTTATGAGTTCACCACATAGAAATTCTAAACTTATCATTCTAAAAATTCCAACTTGAAATTTTGTCCAGAAATGTTGCCATTGCTTTTGTTATAAAAATTTATATTGTTCCTCATTGCATGGATTATTGGTTTCAGAATAATTAGAATGCAGTAGAATATACTCAGTGGTAAAATTATCTCAAGATTTTTAAAAAATTCTCCAGTGAATTAGAAACTGTTCCAGGATAATGTAATGCTTCAGGGTTGCTATTAAAACCAGTTATATTTGCAGTGACAAATTTTATTATCAATTTATTGATGAATCTAGCTGCTAGAAAGCTAAAAACCATCTGTTTATACTGTGATCATTAATCTGTATGAAATTCTAAAATAGTTTATTTATTTAGTTTTCGTGCTATTTAAGCTCTAAGGATATGTACTACTCATTTTATCTTTGCCTACTTACTGATGAAAGTGTTGGAGGAAAAAATACTGATTGCAATTTGAAAAACAATGTTTCTCTCTTCAGACTCCTACTTTCCCCTATTAATGATAGTCAAGACAATTCCTTAAAATACAGTGAAGGAAGGAAACTAACAAATCCTTTGTATTTACTAAATATTGTGAAAAATTTACAGAATATCTCAAATTACTGAGATGTTAAGTGAGGTGATAGTCTAATTTGTATAGACTATTGAGGTCAGTGTCCCAACCAGTGTAAAAGACACTGGTTTTCACACCCAGGTATTTAATTCATGAAATTTCAGTGATCGTGTTATTGAGAAAAGAACGTATTTAAACCTCTCTGTTCTCAAATAACTTGAATATTTTTAATGGTGAGCATTTAATTATTTTTGTTTGCTTTAACACTTAAAAGAAATACCATTCATAGTAGGTACAATGTTGTTATGAAGGATTATTTCCTTACTCTTTTTCATCACCTAGAGTTTAAGATTAAACAAATTGTTGTAAAGACAATAAAGTGCTAAAAAGTAATAATATAATAACTTAGATCCAAAAACCAGTAATTCTGTGCTTTTTTCCCCTTTAAATTAGAAATGTTGCTTTACTGAGTTTAATGCAATGCACTTTCACCAGTGTGTTTCACTTTTATGAAATGAGAGGTAATTACAGTAAACCATTAAGGATATTGCTAATTTTAGCATTTTCCTGTACACATTTGAATTTCTGTTTTGTTTTACTTTTTCTGTTGGAACAAACAAGTTATGTCCCTAAGGATATTATTGAAAAACTTACATGATGAACACAGATACCAAAAAGGAAAATGGAAATGCAGTGAAGAAAAAACACGTAAGAAATTTACTTATTGACCATTTATAGAATCTTAAAGTGAAAAGGCAAAGCCAATAATGAAATTAAGGCAATTAATGAAATTTTTAAAATATCTAGGCTTTCAAATATGAAAGATTATTCTCTGTGTAGGTGTTTAATATGATAAATAGCAGTGTTTTAAGTAGAGTGAAACATTGGTTAATAATCTAGGAGATACTACTAAATATAGTGCTATCATGCATAAATCATAATGAGACATTATGTAATGTGGATCCACTGTTTCTCTTATTAGCAATTAGACTGAAGGATGTTAAGAAGTTTCTTTTCTAGCTGATTAGGTTTTCATTACCTTTTCCTGGCTGAATTTCTCATTGGACAGCACAAGACGCACTACTGTAACAAGTTCTTGAGTACTTGTGTAGTTCTTATCTCTTAACTGTCATATTTTTAGTTCATGTCCAGGCTAATACTCTTGAGAATTGAGTTCTAAGAGATAAGTTTTATGTTTTCATTCCCCAAAGTGCTTATTTTCAGTCATTCTGTAAACACTGATAGTGATCCTGGGATTGTGCAAGCTAAGTATCTGGGTAAGGAAATGCTCACTAAATTACTGCCTCTTATCTCCAAGAGCTTGCTTCTCACACACATGGTGGGTGGTCCAAATGATTACTGAATTTAGGCCATGAAAAGTCCCTAAATGTTTAGGAATTAAATTGCACATGTCAAAAATAGCCCAGATCCAAAGATAAAATCACAAAATTGGAGAATACTTTTAATTTAGGAATAATTGTTAATGCATATATTCAATTTTGTGGTATTCAACCAAAGAAGTTCAGAGGGAGAATTGTAGCTTTATATGTTCATATTAGAAAAAAAAGTCTATAATCAAGATCTCAGCTTCTTTTAGAATCTAGGGAGGAAAAAGCAATTATACCCTCATTGCTGTGAATGACAGTAGAAATCAATAAAATGGGAAATTTATAAGCAATAGAGGAAATAAACTCAAAATTATAGAAAACAGACACAGTAGAAAAAATCAGTCACTCAACGCAGCAGTTGAGGATGGATAGTCTTTTATGAAGGTGGTTCTGGAATGATTTGATATATAATTGTGGAAAATAATGCCCACCTCTTACCTCAAACATACTCAGAAATTAATTTAAAACACAGGTCTAAACCAGGAGTGGTGGCACATGTCTGTAATCCCAGCTGAGGCAGGAGGATTGCTGTGAATTCGAGGCCAGCCCGGGCTACATTGTAAGACCCTGTTTACAAACAAACAAACAAAAACCAAATAAATGTCTAAATGTAAAAGTTAAAACTCAAAACTTCCCAAAGAAAAATGGAGAAAAAATTAACCTTGGAGTAGGCAAAGATTTTTTAGATAGGACAGAAAGCACCGAAAGTATTTAAAAATCGTACTTAAAACTTTTGCTCTTTCAACAATACTATACCTCAGACTAGGGGAAAATTGTTTTCCTGATATTATAAATAATAAAAATCTTATATCTGAAACAACAAGTACTCAGAATTTAAGAAAAGACAAGGGCTTAAAAGTGAGCAAAAAACTTATACAGATATTATAAAGAAATAGATGAATGCTCAATAAATATGTGAAAAGCCTAATGCCATCATTCATCAGAGAAATGTGAATTAAAATGCACTGAGATACCCACTGCACCCCTATTAGAAGGCTCACAGTGAAACGCTTGACAGTACAAGCTGACAGTGATGTAAAGCAACTGGAATTTGCCTGCTAGTGGAAGTACAAATTGGTACAAGCATTTGGAAAACTAAGTTTCTTAAACATGCACTGAAGAGGCTTTATACCTGAATATTGATAGCGGCTTAATTCATAAGAGCCCAGAATTTGAAAAAATTCAAAAGGTCATCTACAGTGAATAGGTAAGTTATTATTTTAAACAATAAAATAGTAATAAGACAGTGAATTGTTGTTTGAAACAACCTAGGTAAATCTCAAAGCCATTACATACGCTGAGATTGAGACCAGACATGAAAGACTATACTTACAGCTATGTGAACTTTTGAAATAGGCAAGGTTTATCTTGAGTGACAGCAGATCAGTGATTGCCTAGGAGCAGGCCTGTTGTTTTTGGATTGAATGTAGAGGAACGCGTCTTGGGATAAGGAAGAAATTATCAATTTTGATGTTCGTAAGATATACACATTTGTCCTCTTTTTTTCGTGTCCCTTCCTTCCTCCCCCTCCCTTGTTCCCCTTGTAAATAAGGAGAGGAAGAGAGCTGAGGGAGGGGAGGGG